CACGCCCCCGCCACGCTTGACACTGCCACCCACCCTGCACAAACCTCGCCGGCACCCGCCCACCACGCCCCCGTTCCTGGAGCCTCTGGGCATGTGTTCACTAGGGACCAACCACCCTGCAAAAACCTCGCCGGCGCCCCCCGCTACGCCTGACACCGCTGGCCTCCTGGAGCCTCAGGGCATGCGCTCTGACGGGCCACCCGCCGTGCAAAAACCTCGCGGGCACCCCCCAACACGCCCCCGCCACGCCTGACACCGCTAGTTTCCTGCAAAAACCTCGCCGGCACCCACCGCGCTCCCGCCGCGCCTGACGCCGCCAGCCTCCTGGAGCCTCTGGGCGCGGATCCTTAGGGGCCACCCACCCTGCAAAGACATCGCCGGCACCCCCCACCACGCCCCCACCACGCCTTGCACCGCCAACCTCCTGGAGCCTCTGGGCATGGGTTCTTATAAGGGCCACCCAGACTGCAAAAACCACCCCCCCCCCCCCCCCACACCACGTTCCTGGAGCCTCTGGGCATGGGTTCTTATAAGGTCCACCCACCCACCCTGCAAAAACCACGCCGGTACCCCGCACCACGCCCCCACCACGCCTGACACCGCCAGCCTCCTGGAGCCTCTGGGCATGGGTTCTTAGGGGCCCTGCAAAAACCTCGCTGGCACCCCGCACCACGCCCCCATGCCAGCATTCTGGAGCGAAGTACTCAATGGCCACCCACCCTGCAAAACCTCGCCGGCAGCCCCCACCACGCCTTTACACCGCCAGCCTCCTGGAGCCTCTGGGCATAGGGGCCACCCACCCTGCGAAAACCTTGCCGGCCCCCCCCGCCACGCCCCCGCCACCACCCACCCTGCGAAAACCTTGCCGGCCCCCCCCGCCACGCCCCCGCCACGCGTGACACCGCCAAACCTCCTGGAGCAATGTTCGTAGGGGCCACCCACCCTGCAAAAACCTCGCCGGCACCCCCCGCCATGCCCACCACCACGCCTGACACCGCCAGCCTCCTGGAGCCTCTGCGCATGGGTTCTTAGAAGGGCCACCCGCCCTGCAAAAACATCACCCGCACTGCCCGCCGCCCCCCACCACGCCTGACGCCGCCAGCCTCCTGGAGCCAGTCTCTTAGGGGCCGCCCACCCTGCAGAAACCTCGCCGGCACCCCCCACCATGCCCACCACCACGCCTGGCACCGCCAGCCTCCTGGAGCCTCTGGGCATGGCTTCTTAGAAGGGCCGCTCACCCTGCAAGAACCTCGCCGGCACCCCCCGCCGCGCCCCCACTACGCCTGTGACCATCAAGCGAGGCGGCCGCTGCCCACGTCCTCCAACTCCTTCTCCTCCAACTCCTCGTCCTCCTCCTCCACCTTGTCCTCTTCCTCCTCTTCCTCCTCCTCCTCCTCCTCCTCCTCCTCCTCCTCCTCCTCCTCCTCTTCCTCCTCCTCCAGCCTCCTCCAATCGCCCACCCTGCAGAAACCTCGCCGGCAACCCCCGCCATGCCCACCACCACGCCTGTGACCATCAGGCGAGGCGGCCGCTGCCCACGTCCCCCTCCGCCCTGCCCTCCACTTCAAGAGTTCCTGGAGCGTGAAAATCTGCGGCAGCTGCTGTCCCTGGTCGGAGCTCCTGGGCGGGGGCCTTGTACACCATGTTCTAACACCTCGCCCACCAAACCTCCTCCTCCTCCTCCTCCTCCACCTTGTCCTCCTCTTCCTCCTCTTCCTCCTCCTCCTCCTCCTCCTCCACCTTGTCCTCCTCCTCCTCCTCCTCCTCCTCCTCCTCCACCTTGTCCTCCTCCTCCTCCTCCTGCTCCTCCTCCTGCTCCTCCTAAACTAAACTAAACACACATCGGGGGCAACGAAAACCGGTCTCAAGGCTCTGGACACCGAATTCCGAGTTCCAGGCCGAAAAACCTCAAACAAAATTGTGTGCCCCTGTGACGTCGGGAACGAGGTCGGCGCGCGGCCGCGGGGGCCTGGCGGCGCCCCGCTCCGCAGGTGCGGCGACGGGGTCCGATGCAGCCAGGGGGGCCCGCGACGCGTGACCGACGCTGACTGCATCCTTGCACCGCGGATTCCATCCTCCCTCGGGCTGTTAGACGGAGCCGCCAGGGCCAGAACCCGCCAAACAGCCTGGGGGTGTGGGGGGCCCGCAGTGCATCACGTCCGACTGCGGGCTCTCCTTCGGAGCGACCCCAGTCGGGCAAACCCTGCTCTCCAGGGCCCTCAGAAGTTCACTTTCACGCTCGCTGCCAGTCGCAGCGACCATCGCGGTCTCACTAGCCGCCTGCTGTCGACGGGCCTTCAGCTCGGCTTCATGCTCTGGCCCATATTCTTCTGCAGATCGCGCTCGAGCCTGGACCTGCCCGTCGACACGCACCGCCCCCTCGGCCTCCAGCATGGCAAGGAGCACCGCCCGCACGTCCCTGACGAGAGTCGACGCCAGCGGCATGTCGGCCAGGCGCCGCGTCCCCTCCACGTCGCTCTCCCTGAACGCCTCCTCGTTCGCCTTCTTCTTTCCCTCGCCGTGCTTGCCCAGCCACTTGGGCGGTAGCTGCACGTGCGGGCTGATGGCCATCGTCATCTGCTCCTGCTCGTCGAACCTCGCGCGCTTGGACTTGCGCCCCTTGAAGATCTCGCCCTTGATCGCTGGGCTCTCCTCCAGCGCCGTGTTCATGAGTGACCGCGCGCCCTGCGCCAGCCTGACCTGCTGCCCTTTGCTCATGTCTGCGTTGGCCAGCTTGTTGATCACTCTCTTCTCGATCTGCTCGCGCGGGCTGCCGAGCTCCTGCTGAGTGAGCGTCTTGGACTCCGCCGCATCGTTGTACTCCTTACCGCTCGTCTCCGCCGCATCCACCGTGACGCCGTTCACTGGCTCCAGGCAGAAGTCGAGGACTGCCCACTCCAGGCTGCGCTGCCCCTGCAACGTGTTCAGCACCCCCTGCAGCCTGGTGACCATCGCGTCGGAGACCCCGCCGAAGCTGGCGGCGGCGAGACCCGCGCCACAATCGGTCGCGAGCTTCTTCTTCTTCATGCCGCCCTCCTGGTCCCAGTAGGTCGTCAGCGCGCGCATGCCGCCCCCAACTCCTTCCATGGCCATCTCCTGCTTCCACTCCTCAGCGCCCAGCATGCAGTTGGCCTCGTCCCTCAGCTCTTCGATCCGCTCGTAGTAAGTGTGGTCCTGATGGGCCTTGCAGCGCGCCTTGCACTCGCATGTGAGACGCCGTAGCCGCGCTTCTGCACCCCTCTCGACGCGCTCGAGGTAGTGGTGGCCTGTGTCATCCCGTCGAGCCTGCATCTCTGCAAGTTCATGTGCCACGTGCGCCAGAGCTCGCAGAGCCCGAACCCTCTCTTCCACCAAATGCTCGCACTCATTGTCCAGCGTCCTCGTGGGTGGGAAGAACGAGATCTTGGTGTCGCGAATCGCCTTCATGAAGAGATGGTATTTGGTCTCGCGGATGGGGTAGGAGTCGGAGCGGTTCCCCTCGGCATCAGCGGCGCTCAGATCGTTCTCAACCTTCTCGCCTAGCTCGTGCCTCCGCTCGCCCTTCGTCAAGCGCATCATGAGGGAGTCCCGATCCGCCCTTGCCATGGCGCCCCGCAGCGGCAAGTAACTCAGCTCGTAAGTGATGTGGGCCTCAGTCAGGTACCGATCGCGAAGCTCAGCCGTCGGGAATGATAAGAGCGTGCGCCTCCGGTAGTGGTGCATCCTGATCTTCGGCAATACCCCCATAGCCGTGGGCGGAACCACCACATGATCTCTCCAGCTGGTCGGCTCCGACCCGTAGTAGCTGTCGAGCGGAAGGAAGTGCGTGTTGGCCGCGGTAAGGTAGTATATAGCCGCCCACCATAGCATTTGTCTTGATCGCCTATGCCGTCCATGACGTCCAGCCACCTCGTCTATGTCATTGAACTCCAGCTGCTTGTCCCCAGCGATCACCTCCAGGTCCTCGTTGCCCGCCTCCGCCTCCTCGTCGTTGATCCAATCTGAGATGCGCTGCATGGCCCCCGTACGCTCCTCCTGGGTGCCATGCGGCGTGAGGTAGACCCCGACGCCCAGCCTCGGGGTCCGCGCCATCGCCAGCTTGAGACCTCCCGCCCGCTCAGTGATGCCAATCTTCGGCGGCGAGCTGAGTACCTGACGGACATGGTTGCTGACGCTCCTGCCAATCATGATCGTGATACCGCAACTCTTGTCGGTGAGCCGTCCACTGCGCCAGCTCCCGCCGAGAACCACGTGCCTCATCGTGCTGGTGGCCGTGACGGGAATCGCGTCTCTCTGGCGCTGCTGAGTGCCAGACCGCGCCACCACGTCGAAATTCTGCAGCGCCTCGCGCGCGAGAGCCACCTGCCTGGTCTGCAAGCTCTGCGGGTTGTAGAGGCCCGTCGTGAGCGTCCAGACGGCGGCAGCCGCGCACGCCGCCACGAGCCTCGCCAGGGCCATGGCGCGGCGGGGCGGCGCGAGAGCCTCAGAGGGCTAGCGCAGGGCCGGCGCCTCCCATCCCGCGGCGACAGGCGCCTCGCGCCCCCGACGAAATCCAAGGCCCGTTGGGGGCCGCCGTGGTCGCCCAGATCTTCCTCATTCGAGAGGAAGTGGCGACTCTGCTCCTCCTCCTCCTCCTCCTCCTCCTCCTCCTCCTCCTCCTCCTCCTCCTCCTCCTCCTCCTCCAGCCTCCTCCAATCTCCCTTGCATGGCGCCTGTGCCCTCGGACGCTTTCCAATCGGCGCCCACCTCCTCCTCCTCCCCCTCCTCCTCCTCCTCCTCCTCCTCCTCCTCCTCCTGCCCTTCTCCTCCTCCTCCTCCTCCTCTGTTCCTGTTCCTGTTCCTGTCCTGTTCCTGTTCCTGTTCCTCCTCTTCCTCCTCCTCCTCCTCCTCTTCCTCCTCTCCTCCTCCTCCTCCTCCTCCTCCTCCTCCTCCTCCTCCTCCTCCTCCTCCTCCCCCTTCCCCTCCCGCACCCTCTCCCTCCTCCCAGCGGAACCTGTGGCAGAGGCAGCGGCGCGGGCGGCCTTAAGAAGCGAGGGGCGCGCCGCGGCCACAGCCGCGCCGCCCGCTGCGGCAGGAGCAGGGCGATCAAATCCGGAACCGCGCCCACCAGGCCGTGCTCCCAGGCGGCCTGGCAGAGGACCAGCTGGCCTTCCTACCCTCCCCCGTCCTCCTCTTCCTCTTCCTTTCTCCGTCCTCTCAGGAGGTGTCTTTTCCAACTGTCCCATGGTCATCTGAGCGGTTCCCTCTTCTCCTTCTCTCTTCCCCTTCTCCTCCCTCCTCCTCGACCCCCACCCCTGGTCCTTATTCACTACTGTCAGGTGCATACTGTCGGTGCTGAGATTTCTTGAGCGCATGTCAACATAATCATCTTGGAAGCGCGTGCGCACGCAAACGCATGCGCTCAGGGCGAGGCTCGAGCTCGGGCTCGGTCTCAAGCTCACGCTCGGGCTCGGGCCCGAACTCGGGTTCGCACTCCGGCTCGCGCTCGCGCCCGACCTTGCGCGCGCGCGCACGAGCGCGCACGAGCGCGCACGAACGCGCACGCTCGCGCACGCTCGCGCACGCTGACTGCCCCCGTGTGAGGGCGATGCGCGACTGCAGTGCTGGGACACCCAGCCGCCGGGCCTCCCCCCTCCGACCTGATTCACACGCTCAGAGCCCGAGTCGGGGTGTGTGGCTCCAGCGCCCAGCGTTTGCACGGGAAGGCGGCTCCAGCAGATGATGCCGTCTAGAAAGGGGTGGGCCCCAGCGCCTCGCTTTTCACGAGGGGCAGTGGCTCCAGCAACCCAGGGCATGGGCTCCAACACCCAACTCTGCCAGCGCCTCGCTTTTCACGAGGGGCAGTGGTTCCAGCAACCCGAGGCGCGGGCTCTCACGCCCATCTCTGCCAGAGAGAAGTCGTTCCAGCAGATCATGCCGTCAAGAAGGGTGGCTTCCAACATTCATGTTCTACGAGGAGCGGCGGCGCCGGCAGCCCACGGCGCGGGCTGCAGCACCCAATGTTGACGAGGGAGAGCCGCTCCAGCAAATTACAGGAGGGGCCCGGCCGCGAGAAACCTTCCACAAGAAGCCCAACCCTCAGACCCCAGGACGTTCATGGATTTTGTTCCGGGAGCGTCACGCTTTCCATCGCAGAGCCAGCGAAAACAAATAAGGGAACGAAAAGTAGTGACGTAAACACAAAAACTCGGAGGTCCGGGCGGATTTCTCGGATCGGCGCTGGGGCCCGCCGGCGGCGCCTCCGGCACCGCCCCTGGCGCGCCCCGCGCGCCGGGGAGGGGGGCCCAGCGCCGATCCGAGAAAGCCGCGCGGACCTCCGAGTTTTTACGTTCATGTCACTTCTTGTTCCCCGGACCAGGGAAACTGGGGCGCCCTGGAGGCGAGCAGGGCCCCTAGGAGGGGGAGGAGGAGGAGGAGGGGGAGGAGGGGGAGGAGGAGGAGGAGGAGGAGGAGGAGGAGGAGGAGGAGGAGGAGGAGGAGGAGGAGGGGGAGGAGGAGGAGGAGGAGGAGGGGAGGAGGAGGAGATGGCGAGGAGGAGATGGAGGAGGAGCGATGGAGGAGGAGGATGGAGGAGGAGGAGGAGGAGGCAAGCGTACGACGACGACGACGACGTCCCACCCTACCCTACCCCGCGCTGCCCTGCCTGCGCAGAAGGCGGAGATCCCGCACCGCAGCACGCGCTGCATCTTGGGCAGTCTGAGGGAGGCGGAGGACCTCGGGAGGCAGGAGACGAAGCTGGTGATACATGTGTGTAGCAACATAAATCTCCTCTAATATTGCGACGGTGCAATATCCAGGGATCCCGAGACGATCGAGGGGGTCGAGGCATAAAGGACGAGAGCGGAGGGAACATGATATGGGCCAAGCTAACCTGGGGCAACATAAATAGTGGCGCAAAGAATCTGGCTGATTTGCGCATCCAAGAAGACGCGACAGCTTTCCCCGAGCATGCAAAATACGATGGCTCGTTAGCCATCCTCCAGAAACGGTTCTAAGCCAGGACCAAGCCCAAGACGGGGGAACTTCATTTAAGACCTGGCGGGCAGCAACGACATCCTCGCGAGCAGTCACAAGGGCCTCCGAGGGGAACACCTTGCAAAGACGAGACCTCAGGAGCGCATCGAGCGAGCGCGATTGCCAGCACTGCGCGCAAGCTATCTTCGCAGCCCGCTGGGGCTTAAAGGCCTCGAGAGGAACTCGTGGGAGCCTACAAACACGGGCAGCCTCAGACGCAAGCTCAGAAGTTGATCCACGGCAGGCGGCAGCCATAGGCCCAACATACGATTTCGACTTCCAATGCCCAGGCGACAGTCTGCCAGCTGGGATCATCGTCAGCCGCAGCTCGTCAGCGTGCTCGGCGCTGTCGTTCTGCGCACACAGCCACCGAAAGACACGAGCGTGTCCAGGAAGAGTGTGAATAGCAGTTCTCGCCATCGTCGCAGCGCTCGTGACCCCGAGGGAAAAACTTTCGGCCCGTGATATTCAGCCAGATGAAGCCAATCAGCAGACCCGAAGTTGCCCAGGGGAACTCGAAAGACCCGAGAGAGACAGCCCAGTTCGGTTTGCTTCAGTGACTTCGGTACCGGCAAGAACTGCATCACATAACTCAGCACGGAAGTACAGCGCGCGCTGCACAAGACTGCCGAGGAGGACGCAGGGGTCGGTCCACGACCAACCGCAGCACAACGAAAACAATACCTCGAAATCGGCAGCTCCCAGGAATCATCTTCCGAGGCCCCAGGGCCAACCCGCATGCCCAGGTAAAACAATTTATCTTCAATTATGAACTCACTCCAAGCTGGGATAAACATATCCAACAACTGCTGAACTTTCTTCTTGAGCTCGGGGGTAAAGCAGCTTGAAACAGGGACAATAACACACTTCGCAGGTCTCAATTTCAGGTGGGCGATCTTTTCGGTTATATTCATAACTCTGAACAACTGGAGGAGGGACCTGCGCATCTTGAGGGCGCCGCCGAGGTCATCAGCACACGCTCGGTTGATTCCAAGACGCTTGCTCTCGAAGCAGCCGTGGAGGTCGACCAGCGCGGGGGACAGGGCAATGGCGAACAGGGGCCCCGACAGCGCATCACCCTGGATAGTGCCAGAACGGATCCAAAACGCATGCCTCAGAAACCCTCGCGCGGCAATGACCCCCTGGATGGCCCCATGCAAAGTCATAGTGAAATCGATCAGCGCTGACGGGCACCCCATCTTCACAAGGGCTGACATCGCGAACTCCTGAGACAAGCTAGGAAACGCATGCCCATAATCCAGAGCATACAGTACAGGGCAGTCATCATCAGCCTCGAGGCGAGCTGAGTGCGTGCGGGAGAGCGCATCAACTTCCAGAATGTTCATACACAAATTTCGGCCTCTCATGAAGCCACGTTGGCCCCCAGGGGCGAAACGGTCCAGAGGCCTTCGGATGGCAAAATTCACCGCCGCCGGCAAAAGCTTGATACTCGTATTTCGGATGCCCAGAACCCGAACAGCATTTGCTTCCCGATCACACTCGCCATCAGTCGAGTCGGAGGCGAGATCGCCCTTCGGCAGGAAGGCCTGCATGGTCACGCTCTCCGACAAGAAAAGGCCATTGCCCGATAACGCTCACAAGAGGACGTCGCGCAGCACAGGAAGCCCGGAGGGATGAGCAAGCCAGGCAGCGCAGCATAGACGATCCACTCCAGGAGCAGAATCACCGACACGAAGTGCAACTTTCCTGAGAACAGCAAGCGACGGCGGCGGGCAGTCTTCGAAGCTGACGGGTTTCACGAAGCGATTGACGTAAGCAGCAGCAGTCTGAGGAGGCCATGGTTTCCGAGCAAATACAGAGCCCCAATGTTTGGTAAGAGCATCAGCACGATCCGACGCGTCCTCCATCCTGACCACATCGACAATGATAGCTCTCAAAATCAATCTCCTGGAAAACGGGACCTAAAGTCGAGCACGACGATTGATTGCCTGAATCTGTTGACGAGGACGAGTCCTGGAGCTAACATCCCGAGCTTGGTCGAGCCGAGCCTGCACCGAAGCGCGATCTAAATCAGCAACTTTGAACTGCACTTCGTTCGACCATCTTTGAAACGAAGCCGGGTGGGGCAAGCGCGCCTGGCCGCCGCAGATCTTGATAAAGTCTGGGGCCATCTCGTGCGAGCTCAGCAATAACTCGGCATATTCACAATCTTGGCGCCGCACAGCACGAGCCAGGGCGCGGGCAAGGAGAAAAAGTGTCCGCGGATCATGCAGGTCCTTGAAGGCTAAGAGGTTGCGGGCAACTCGACTGGCCTCTTGCGTCAACATTGTATAACGCCCCAATCTACGAGGGGGACACATCGCCTCAAGATGCTCAGCTTCTGCTTCCATATACTTCCCACGAACAGACTTAACTATAGGAGATCTCACAATATGCTTCGGGATGGGTCGACCAAACTCGTTGGGGATCTTACGGGGGTGAAGCGAAACGACCAATACAGCACGATCACTCACCTTGCCCTTCGAAAGCTCCTCGGGGTTGCCCACAACTCTCGCACGCGAACAGATTTGCACAATCATCCAACCAGGCCAAGAACACCAGCAGCGGTCAATAGCGGCTACTGCATCCGCGTGTTTATCATAGTGGGTGGCGGCAGCAGGGGGAATCTCAATAAACGAATCAAGAGTGTCACACCATCTCGGCGCCTGCGCATGCAGGGGACGAGCGTTTCTTTGAGCTTCAGATGGCTGCGAGAAGCTCAGCTTTTCCTCGGACGCAGAATTAAGATCGCCTGTGACAACCGTTAAAAAGCCCTCAGGAATAGCTTCAGACTCGGCCCGATCCCTGGATATGTTATTGCACACGTCCCGAACTTGAGCTGCCGTGAGCTCATGGTTATGAATATTCGAATGACTTATCTTCGTATTTTCACTCGCTATCACTACACGCAAGACCCTGCCAGGAATCGGGGCAGAGGGGACGCCCAGAGGAAGAGTAGGGGTTGGACTCCCTGGGGCTAGCACCTGGAATGACCGTGGCAACACCCCCTCGGATGCGGCCCTCACGATCTTCTCCGCAGAAACTAGAGAAAATCACAGCCCCTGGGAGCACACGCTGCAAAAAGATACGCAGCTTGACATCGTTTTGATGGACCTCTTGAAACGAAGTAACTGGAACCGAGGCGCAGCCGAATCATATAACCCAGCTTCTCAGATGCATGAGCCCCCTCATACTGGAGAAGCGCCCTACAATTCCACGTCGTGAAATTGATGCCACCCACCGAACTCATATCACAGAGCACCTGTGGCGTCGACCTCGGCAGCAGCTTCGCGAATCTGTCAAAGACACCACTCAGGTTCAGCATCAGGCTCGAAGATCTGGTTTATGCGAGCAACGAGGGCCTCCTTGGACACTCCGAGCTTGCGGATCGTCGCCATGTTCCACATGAGTTCAACCTTCTCCCTGCCCTGCTTCGGTTTGATCTTGCACAGCGCGTCCCAGCCAACTGAAACCCATCCACGATCACGATCGAAGAAGACTTTGCGGCCAGCCAGCTCCTCTTGCAAGGCGAGCTTGGTCTTGCGGCCGAGGATCTCGAACTTGACCTGACGCGCATTCTTATCTTGCGAAATATGGAGTCGAGCCTCTCCACCACCGCCGTGTGCAGCCACAGCGAATGAGCGCCAGGTGCCGTCACTGCCACGAAGGGACTGCAAAGTTTTGCCCACACGGCGGGCAGCCAAGCCAGCAGCACCCGTGAATTTGAGAATGAACTGCTTCGCCAGGGGATCGGCGGACTGGAGCTCGTACTTGTCGCTGTCAAAGCCGACCTCGGACAACCACGGAGACAGCTCATCCGAGAAAGCCGCGCGGACCTCCGAGTTTTTATGTTCATGCCACTTCTTATTCCCCTGACCAGGGAACCTGGGGCACCCTGGAGGCGAGCAGGGTCTCTAGGAGGAGGAGGAGGCGGCGGAGGAGGAGGAGCAGGAGGAGGAGGAGGAGGAGGAGGAGGGAGGAGGGAGGAGGAGGAGGAGGGAGGAGGGAGGAGGGAGGAGGGAGGTGGGTCTCCACTGTGTGCCGACGGGACGGGCGGGCCGCCGTCGGGAGAGGCAGCCGGGAACTGGGGCGGCCCGCGCCCCGGCCACGGGCCCTCCTGCAATCCAGCAACGAACTTGCCATCGCTCGGGCGCCCATGTCCCCTACGTGCCTCGAGCTCGTGGTTGTAACTCTCCCAGGATGATCAAATATGCTCCTAAATGCCCCTCGCCGACGAAAAAGGCACACGTCCGAGCGATGTCGAGACAATACCACTTGCAACATATTCAACTGATTGTGATGCTGAGTCGGAGGCTCGGGGGTGAGATCGAATGATACGGAGTGACCTAATCGGGAATTCGACTTCGGCTTCGGTTCGTGCGTGACGCGTGTGTCCTCAAAACAACTGTCCTACCCCTGCACGTCAATTGAGCGTTGGCATACGCCAGTCGATCTGCTCGACTCCGAAAAACGAATCATGTTCCCCGCTTCTCCGTCCTCCTCGTCCTCCTCGTCCTCCTCCTCCTCCTCCTCCTCCTCCTCCTCCTGCTCCTCCTCCTCCCTCTCCTCCTCCTCCTCCTCTTCGTCCTCCTTGCCCCCTTCCTTCTCACTCGTCCGCTGCTCCCTCTGTCAATCCCTCCCTCCCTCTCCCTCGTTCACTGCCCCCCCGACCTGCTCCTTCCAGTTCGATCACCCCTCCTCCTCCCCCCTCCCTCTTCTGCCCTCCCTCCAGCCTCTCTCCCTTACCTCGCGCCCCAGTGTCCTCATCCCCCCCTTCGCCACGGCCCCTCCTGCCCTGAAAGGTTCGACGACCACCGCCCGCCTCGGTTGCCTGCTCTGCGACGTCCTGTGCCCACTGGTTCCAGCTGCGGCGCTGAAGCGCCTTCGGCCGCCGATCGGGACGCGAGCGACGAGAGGCAGGGGAGAGAGGAGGGGAGAGAGAAAGGGAGCGGATTGAGAACGGAAGAGGTACGAGGGGTTGAGGAAGGGAGGGGACGGCAAGCTGTCCGCCGTCCACGCACTGTCCACGCACTGTGACTGCAAGCATCGGCCTTGGGGAAGCAGGCCAGATTGCAGCTCCTTCAATTCCTGCTCTTCGCCGCCTCCTTCTGTCCCCCCTCCAGCTCGCCCAGTCTATACCGCCTCATCCTCCTGGCCTGGGCCAGCTTGCGGGAAAGACCTCAAGCAAACGCTGACACAGCTCTCCAAACCTGTGAAACTCGCGGACACGTTGAGCTAAATCCTGGGCCACTTATGAATAGCACAGCGCATCCACTTGCCGACACTTTGACACAGAAACGCAGCCGCTCAAGAAATGTGGGGCCAGGACACAAACAACACTTCCCACTCGCCCTCCAGACCTTGATGAGGGATGTCTTGTACACCGTCGGAAAACGCAACAGTGAGCCTGATCTGTGGGCGTGCGTGACCACGGTCGGGACGGCGACCGGTCAGAGTGCCCAGGATGGTCCAAGATGGCTCCAGGAGGTCCCTGGATAGCCCAAGACGACCTCCAAGACAGCGCAAGATAGCGCAATATCGTTCAAGATGGCTTCCAAAACATTCTCCCAAAAGTTCCAAGACCACTCCAAGACGGGCCCAGAGGCTCCCCAGGACGACCCCATGAGGCCCGAATCTCTCCCCCGAACCTCCATGAATCAATGCCTTGGGATTAATCGCTCGTTCGCTTCCGATGGTCTTCTGAGGCCGCAAGATGGCTCCATAAAACAGGGCTAGGATCGGGATAATCGCTCCAGAGCGTTCCGGAGCGCTCTCGGAGCGTTCTGGAACGCTCTGGAGCGGCCGCGGCGCCCAATACATCCTCCAAACACGCCGACTCTCAGAGATTTCGAGCTACCCCGATCCGATTTTGTCCCGACCTTCGCGTCGTTTGGCTCCAGCAGGCCCAAGAGAGGCCCAAGAGGGACCCACGAGGGCTCCAAGGCGGCCCCTCTCGCCATGCGCGGGGGGACCGGCTATCTGCGCTGGGGGCTTCGCGCCGCGGCTGCGCACAGAGTCGGGCACCCTCGAGCCGAGACGGGAGGGGAGAGGGAGAGACGGAGAGAGATACAGCAGGCGAAGGGAGGGGAGAGAGAGGGCGAAGCTTCGGGGCCGCAGAGGGGGGGAGGGGACGAGGGGAGGAGGGAGGTGGGATCAGGGCACGACCCCCGCCTCCCCCGCAGGCGCACCGGCACCGCCCCGCGAGCCTGCAGCCTGGCCCGCATGGCCTCCGCCTCCTCCGCCCGGCCCTGAAGCTCCAGGACGCGCGCCAGCCCGCCGGCGGCCTCGGGGCCGCCGCACCCAGCGGCCGCCCCCGGGGACGGCACGGACAGCGGAGCTCCCCCACCACTGCCCTCTGCCCCCTGCCATCCCGTCTCCTCCCTCCGCCCTCCATACCCTCCCGCTCCCTCCTCCGTTCTCCCTCCTCCCCCTCCCTCTCCCTTCGTCCTGCCCCTCCTCTGACGCCTCTTTCTCTTCGCCCCCCCATCCCCTGCTCTTTTTCCCCCCTCCCTTTTTCCCCTATTTCCAGCCTTCCACCTTTTCCCCCCTTTGTCCCCCCTCGTGATAGCCCTCCCTCTTTTTTCCCCCTCCCTTTTTCCTTTTTTTTTCCCCCCTCCTTTTTCCCTTTTTCTTTCTCCCCCTTTTCCAGCCTTCCACCTCGAAGACATTGTGAGCAGGCATACGAACCAGGATGACGTGAGCACCAGGATGACGAAACGAAATTTACATCAGGCACGGGGGGAGAAGTTCACGCGGGAGGGGCCGGTAAGAGAGGAGCGAAATATAGGTTCGGCAAGAAAACCAAAACGTGCTCGGCGCCCATGTTCGTACGGATGTGCTTCGAGAAAATATTGTTGCAAGGGTCGTTGCGACGCGCGTGGCGGCTCCCACGGCGCTGGTTTCGGCTCCACCAGGCAACATCATCTCGTTGTGACTAATTATGCTCACACCACCTCTTCGATAACACCACCTCCTCTTCCTCTTCCTCCTCCTCCTCCTCCTCCTCCTCCTCCTCCTCCTCCTCCTCCTCCTCCCTCCTCCTCCCTCCTCCTCCTCCTCCTCCTCCCCTCCTCCTCCTCCTCCCCTCCTCCTCCTCCCCTCCTCCTCCTCCTCCTCCTCCTCCTCCTCCTCCTCCTCCTCCTCCTCCTCCTCCTCCTCCTCCTCCTCCTCCTCCTCCTCCTCCTCCTCCTCCTCCTCTTCCTCCTCCTCCTCCTCCTCCTCCTCCTCCTCCTCTCCTCCTCCTCCTCCTCCTCCTCCTCCTCCTCCTCCTCCTCCTCCTCCCTTCTCCACTCCATTCTTTCTCCTCGCTCTTCTCTAAGATGGGGGGGGGAGGAGGGGGGCCGAACTGCGGGCGCAGGCTGCCCAACAACCCCTGCCGGGCCTCTCGCGCCAAGTCGGCCCTCTCCCCGCGCACCTCTGCCGTCGACATCCCCCAGTCCTCGATGGCGGAGGGGCCGGATGGAGAAAAGGGGGGGGGCGCGGGGGGGAGGAGCAGGAGGAGGAGTAGGAGGAGGAGGAGGAGGAGGAGGAGGAGGAGAAGGAGGAGGAGGAGGAGGAGGAGGAGGAGGAGGAGGAGGAGGAGGAGGAGGGCAGGAGGAGGAGGGCAGGAGGGCAGGAGGGAAGCGAGGTGGGCGAGGGAAGCCGGGGGGGGCAATGGTGCAGGGAAGGGGGGCAGGGGGAGCGGGAGAGTCGGGGAGGAGCACAAGGAGATCCTCTCCTTACCTCCTCTCTGCTTCGGATATCTTTTCTCGCTATCTCCCCACACTCAGCGTGTGGGTACGATAAGCCGCGGATCTAACAGACGTTCGACCAGCGAGCAACCAGGAAAGCACGCCGAGGAGAAAGCGCGTGGGCAACGGCATGCGCAGTCTCAGGCTGCTGCGGCAAAGGGCCACTGCACGAGCCCGCGGGACCGAACAGCAAGCCCCAGAACTTCCATGCCTCGTTCTGCCCCTTGCCTGGCGCGCCCCGCCCGCACCACTGCCGCTCCGCTCGCAAGAAGCGCATCGTCCAACCGACGCCGCTCTCCGTGCCGAGCGGCGAGCGGCGGAGCACGACGAGCGGGCGCCCGGTGACCAGGCCCCGCACGGAGTGGATGTCACGAGGAGGAGTCCGAGGCACTACAGTGCCCAGTGGTCGGCCGGCTGGCCGCTCATGAGTCAAGAGATGCGACGGGGCCTGGCGCCTCCTGGCCCTTGCAGCAAAGAGGGCGTGTACACGCCGCAGCTTCACAACTCTGCGCGCCGACCGCTCGCCGCAGGGATCGAGGACGAGGGAGGATGGAGCGGGAGGGTGATGCGAGCGGAAGGCACGGGGGCAGGGAGGGAGGCAAGGAGGGAGGAAAGGAGGAGAGCAAGCGAGGCGTGGGGGGAGGAGAGGGAAGGGCGGCGGGCGCCCTGCGGCCATGGGCTCCGCCGTGGCGGAGCCCGGGCGGGCTCTCCCTGGACGGCACGCCTGCCAGGTGGCGACGACGGTGCGGATCCTGGCTGGCGTTCTCGGCCGGAGCCGAAGAGGGAGACGGAGGGAGATCCACACGCCGGGCAAGTTGGCGCGAGAGAGAGCAGCACGCCTCAGGGTGCACTTCGCTCCGGCTTCTTCCCTGGAGTCAGGGCCTGCCCTCTCCACTCTGGACGGGAGGGAGCGCGTGAAGGTGCGAACGGGGGATTGGGCGAGGGAGGGCCCCCCTCCCCGACGGGCGTCCTCGGCGAGGATCTCCTCGAGGTCGGGCTGCAGCCTCTTCTCGCTGCTCTTGAGCACCCGGCGCATCAGCGTGGCGGCCACGGGGAACTGCCTCAGCTGGACCATGGCCTGCCCGTCCAGGAGGTGAAGGGGCGTCGGCTCCTCCATCTCCTCCTCCTCCTCCTCCTCCTCCTCCTCCTCCTTCTCCTTCTCCTCCTCCTCCTCCTCCTCCTCCTCCTCCTCCTCCTCCTCCTCCTCCTAGAGACACTGCTCGCCTCCAGGGTGCCCCAGGTTCCCTGGTCAGGGGAACAAGAAGTGACATGAACATAAAAACTCGGAGGTCCGCGCGGATTTCTCGGATCGGCGCTGGACCCCCCTCCCTGGCGGGCGGAGCGCGCCAGGGGCGGCGCCGGAGGCGCCGCCAGGGGGCCTCAGCGCCGATCCGAGAAATCCGCGCGGACCTCCGAGTTTTTATTTTATGCCATTGTCTGCTCCCCTATGAGTACCCGCCGCCTCTCCCTCCCTCCGCCTCTCCCTCCCCTCTCCCTCCCTCCCTCCCTCCGCCTCTCCCTCCCCCCCTCCCTCCGCCTCTCCCTCCCTCCCCCTCCCTCCCTCCCTCCCCCTCCCTCCCTCCCTCCCCTCCCTCCCTCCCCTCCCTCCCCCTCTCGCTCCCTCTCTCCCTCCCCTCCCTCTCGCCTCTCTTCCGGGCTCCCGCTGCCCTCTCGTGTGGCCGCCCTGGGCCCGCGCCTCGGGCCCTCTCCCGGGGGCCCTCTCCCGGTGGCCTCCCGGGGGGGGTGCTGGAAACGCTCGGGGCCCGTCGGGAGCCGCCCAGGACCCACTCAGCAGGGGGCCACATGCGAACCCTACCGTCGGGGCGCTGACCTAAGGAACCCTAAATAAGGAACGAGGCCCCTTTTTCCATAATGTCGAAAACCTAAGGAAAACCTGAGGCAAGCTGTGAAACACTTAAGGAACGCGGAGCCCCTCCCCAACGAAAAGGGTTCCTTCTTCAGCGCCCCGACTGTACCCCCACCCCCCACGATTTCTGGAGGGGAGGGTGGGGTTCACTTCGCTGGGGAGCTTCCGAGCGAAGTGAACCCCACCCTCCACCCCCAGAAATCGTGGGGGGTAGGGGCAGGGTTCGCATGTGGCCACCTATTCAGGACTATCCCGAATCGCCTCGTGCCCTCTGAACTCGTTTTGAGGACGCCTCTGCGATCTTGGAGCGGTCGTGGGCGTCATGGGTCGTCGCAGGGCCATGTGGACAGTACCGCAGGCCAGCCTGGAGTACCAGGGATGGCGGCCCAGCATCATAGATAGGATAACGCGGGGGTTCAAACTCACTTCCCACATCGTGCAGATCAGAGAAGAAGCTCGCATCTATCAGTCGCCTGTCCTTTACGCACTAATCCTGACTTTGTAGCTAGGGACGAGCGACTAGACACAAAGGTGAGATTTGCGAAGCTCCTAGTTCGTTGACAGCATCGGAATGGACAACATTCGGCGAACACAGCGCAGGATGGCGCAGCTAAGCATGCGAGATGGTAAGCTTGGTCGCGAGACGGCATGGCACATGCCACGCATGGTGGAGTCCAACATCATCTGAGGAGTTGTACGGCCACTCCAACGTCGGCGCCGCCTCTTGGCGTGTTGATACTTGCTGCTACTCGACGCCGCCTGCTGCAACTTGCGTCCTTCTGTTTGCTGCTTGCTGGTGCTCGTCGTCATTGGTTGTTGCTGTCTGCTTCAGACTGCAGCAACTGGCTGCTGCTGCTGCTGCTGGTTGCCGCCGCTGGCTGTAGCCTGAGAGTTCACACGGTTTCTGGCTTCATGTTTTGCTGCTGTTGGCTGGCTATGCTTGCTGCTGCTGACTGCTCCCTGCTGCTGGCTCTGCTTCTGCTTACTCGGCGGCCGCTGATGCTGGCTTCGCGGCTGCCTGGTCGAACTAACGAGGATTTCAAGCGGTCTGTCTGTCTGCGCTCGCCTGAATGCCCAATTCACTGATCTCCGTTGAATTCCGAAATATAGTCGGGGCGTTGACCTAAGGAACCCAAAATAAGGAAGGGGGCCCCTTTTTTCCATAAGTTAAACTTCGATTTCAGATCGAAAACCTAAGGACAACCTGAGGCAAGCTGCGAAACATTTAAGGAACGCGGAGCCCCTTCCCAACAAAAAGGGTTCCTTCTTCAGGGCCCCGACTGTACAAGAAGATTTACTTGCTAGACACAGCAGTCCTGTGAAACAGGAGCACTTGCTGTGAGGTCTAGGCTCAGGACCCCTCCGGAGGAGGCAGCGGACGTCCAAACCGAAAGCACGAGCGTAAGCATGCTGAGGGACACGTTGAGGGGAACGTCACACGCGGTGTGACTGAATCCATGAGAAGAAATCGGGAGCGCCTCGCGGCCCTCCGTGCAGCCTCTAGGCCTGCCTGGGGCGCCTCTGGGGGGCCCCTCGTGGCTGCCTTGGCGTTGTCCTGGGCCGCCCAGGCCCCTCCCGGGCCGCACTGGCAGCCTCTGGCCATCGCTCGGACGTCCATTCCCTGTGCTTTTTGTTGATTTCGTGCGCGGTTTTTTTCGCCAAAGGATCAAGGATGCTCCCCGATGGTCCTCGCCGAAGGAAAAATGCACACGTCCGAGCGATGCCAGGGGCCAGGGGTGGCCCACCCCCCCGGCCCTGAGCATCCCGCCCCGAGGACGAGGAGAGAGGTGGGGAAAGGAGGGGGAGAAGAGGAGGGGGAACGAGGAGGGGGAAGGAGGAGGGGAAGGAGGAGGGGGAAGGGGGGGGGGGGAAGAAGAGGGGGAAGGAGAAGGGGAAGGTGCACCAGGCTGAACACACATGTTGACCTCCCCAGACCCGCCCTGGGCCGCCCGGGAGTCCCGGGCCGCGTCGCGGGTGGCCCACGGGGCGGCTCGCGAGTGGCTCGCACCGGAGGGCCGCCTGCCCTCGGCCGTCGTGGCCCCTGCCTCGCGGGGGGCGGCCGCACGGGGGGCGGCAGGCGCCAACGACGGCCCGAGGAGCGAGGAGCGAGGAGCGAGGAGGAGGAGGAGGAGGAGGAGGAATTCAGGAGGAAGAGGAGGAGGAGGAGGAGGAGGGGAGGAGGAGGGGGACGGGGTGGGATGATGATGACGATGATGATTGTAATGATGATGATGCTGATGCTGATGATGATGCTGATGATGATGATGATGATGATGATGATGATGATGATGATGATGATGATGATGATGATGATGATGATGATGATGATGATGATGATGATGATGATGATGATGATGATGATGATGATGATGATGATGATGATGATGATGATGATGATGATGATGATGATGATGATGGTGATGTGATGGATGATGATGATGGTGATGATGATGAGGAGGAGGACGAGGAGGGAAGGAGGAGGGGGAGTACGGGGAGGGGGAGGAGGATGAGTAGGAGGAGGAGGAGGAGGAGGAGAAGGAGGAGAAGGAGGAGGAGGAAAAGGAGGAGGAAGGTGAGGAACGGTAGGTCGGGGAGGAGGAGGAGGAGGCGCAGCCTTGTCCCTCGACGAAGGCCCCGCGCCCAGGGACACGAGCCTGCCGAGGCGGGCTCCGGGCCTCAGCGACGCCCATCAGGCCATACAGCGAGTCCGGGTGGCCCGTTTCCGCGACGATCGCCTCGTGAGAGACGGCCCTCAGCGATCGAACCCCGCCCAGCCGGGCCGCAAACCCCTCCCCACGCACACCCGCCCCGCGTTTCTCCCCCTCGCTGCCTTCGCCCAGAAACTGGCAACGAGTGCGACATCGAGCAAGAAAGAGGAGGAGCAAAAAGAAAAATCAGAGAAGGAGGAAGAAGAGGAGGTGGAAGAGCAGGAGCTGGAGCAGCAGAAAGAGGAGGAGGAGGAGGAGGAGGAGGAGGAGGAGGAGGAGGAGGAGGAGGAGGAAGGTTGAACGCGACAGGCTCGTTCCTTACGTTTTCCGAACGTAAAAAAGGAGGGGGAGGAGGAGGAGGAGGACGAGGAGGAGGGAGGAGAAGGAAGAGGAGGAGGACGAAGAGGAGGAGGACCGTAGCAGGAGGAAGAATAAGAAAAGGGAGCGGAGGAACCATGGAACCATGGAGAATAGAGAAGCGAACCCGCGCAAGAGGGCTGCCTCACACGAGAGTACTGCCTCATCGCAAAACGGGCCGCCCCCCGCCCCTACACGGGGAGACCTTCCTCCTCACGTGCAAGGCAGACCGCTCGCTCATCGGCGAGGAGCTTGCGCAACACGGTCGAGGTATAGGTCAGAACCTTGTCGTCCCGCGATTCTCTACTCATACGTGATGGCGGTGGTGCGCAGGGGGGCGGTCGGTTCACCTCCTCACTGGGAAGTCCTTCCCGACTATCCACCCTGCCGAAACAGATGACACGTGCAACTGGGTTGGTACCCCAGGGCGAATAGGCACGAAGGCCCCATGGGTCTTATGGACCACAGGGCCCCGCCACACCACCCAATCTCGAGCGCGAGAGATACCCGTACCCTTACCCAGGCGGGGTGGCAAGGGGCGGGAGGAGCGACACGCCGCAGCCGACGGCGGTTGCACAAGTGCAGATGCGACGGCCCATGGAACATTACAGGACGCTGTCTTCTCGGGGCATCCGCTGGCACCGAAGGCGCGCGCGTTCCAGTCGGCAGAGTGGCCGACCGCGCATGGGTCGCTCTCGGGCCAGAATAGCTCGTCCGGAGGTGCGCCCACGAAGTCGCACAATCAAGCGTGTGGGGCTCGACGCGCAAAATGCGTCCTGGGTGTCCTGGGCGGTCGCCGCTGCAATCCAGCGCTCGCCCCAAACGCCTGGGCCCCCTAACGCCAGGCGCGGTCGCCAGGGGCTGCTCCCTGAAAAAACCCGCCTGGCGTCACCCCAGCTAGGTCCGGGTACGTGTCGGGGGGCGCAGTCGCCGACGCGCGTTGATGGTGCCCCCCGACACGTACCCGTACCTAGTCGAGGTGGGGTTTGGTCGAAATCGCGCTCTGGCGCACGCGCGGCCCCCGAGAGCGTTCCCGAACGCGGCCGCTGCGGCCCCTGGGGGAGCGTGAGATTGCAACGACGCTCGCGCGGGCAGGCCCAAACGCAACGGAGCGGTGGTGCCTGTCCCCAAATGGGACAGGCACCGCCACTCCAATGCTGTTCTAAACCCCGCGGACACCCCCGATGCCCCCAGACGTCCCTGACGCACGCCAGGGCATGTCGCTGCAATCAAACAACCAGCCGTTCAGGGTGTCGTTGCGTCCTGACGCGCGGATGCTGAAACGGCGCGCGCGCGACAGGCTGATCGGGCGCAGTGGCAAGCGCCCAATCCAGCGGACGGCCCTTTTTTCACCCAGGCCGACCCTGGGTAAGGGTTTGTTTAGGACCGACGACCCAATGTACGATCTCCGCGCCTGGAATAGGGGGCCACATGCGAACCCTACCCCTACCCCCACGAGTTCTGAAGGGGAGGGTGGGGTTCTCAGGTGGCCCCTAATTTAGGATCAACGACCCAATGTACGATCCCGCGCCTGGAAGCTCAAGGTAGCACGAGCGCCACGGGCGTAGCTGACCGCCACGGCCCTGGGCAAGGTGCCGCGGGGCGAGGCCCAACAAAACGAGCTGGCATGTTGACGCCGAGCCGTGAAGCGCAGATGGCATTGTCATTGTCCCGGCGGCGTAGGGCCGAGCGCCAGGATCTGGTGCCCATCAGCGCAGTGACTGCCCCCCCCGGCCGCGGGGAGGAGGAGGAGGAGGAGGAGGAGGAGAAGGAGAAGAAGTAGGCGGAAAAAGGAGGAGGAGAAACGAGGAGGAGGAGGAGAAAAAGGAGAAAAAAGAGGAGAAACAGGAGGAGGAGAAAAAGGCGGGAGGAGGACTCGGAGAAATACGAAGCGTGGGGAGGCAGGCAAGAGGGAGGAGACGCACGTGCATGAATGGAGTTCTACCAGCTCACGCCGGCCGGACAAAGCGTGCTCACAGCAACCGTTCACGGCCAGAGAAATCCAGACCTTGCACAAGGGGCCTCAACAACTTCTCGGGCGCCAGAGCGAATCTCTCCCTGCGGCTATAACGGAACGGTGCCCGACGCGACCCTCCGTGAGCGAGCGCGCCGCCCCCATCGCCTCACCCAGCGCGGCGGGCTCACGCCAGACCCGCAAGCCGCCTGGGCTTCACCACAGACGGGAACTGCGAGGACACCGTGGCGCTCGCGGGCGTGGTGGTGCAGCCGAGCACGGCGCCCTGTGGAGGCACCGCTGATGAGGTCGAACCGATAGGGGGCCACTCGACGGCACAGCCGCCGCTCGGCCGCCCCCACATGGTGATCTGGGAAGCGTGCCGTCCTCGAGAGATGGCAGCGACAGATGCTGAGACCCGGGTGTCTGGGCAGGGAGTCCACAAGCGGCTCATGTGGCAGCCTGCCTGGTGCCTTCCGCACAGCGTGGTCATCTTCGTCATGTCGGGGAGACGTAAGACCCGGGTACGGGGGACTCGGAAATCCCCGACGAGGTCGTCAAAAAAATGACGAGGCCGAGCCTGCATTTTGACGAGGCCTCCCGCTGCAGACATCCCACAAAACTCCTCCTCGTCAAAATCCGAGTCGCGGTCGTCAAAAAACGATGGCGAACCCGAGTCCCGGCAAACCCGGGTCTTACGCTCCCCCGATCATGCCATACCCGGGCTGCTCTCTCGGCAACCGGCTGCAAGCCGCTGGCCCGTTGCCGCGTGCGGGGGCCCGTGCTCCCTGCGCAGTGCCGGAGGTGACCCTGCAGCCGGACAGCGGCACTGGGATCTCGACGTTCTGCCCCCCCGTGCAAGCCGAGGGAGATCCGCACGATCTGCTGGTGGGAGTGCACCGGAGCCAGAGCCAGCCCACCTGCAGCTCGCCAGATGCAGTGTCATCCCAATGTCGTGAGGAACCACGGACGGGGGGTCCTGCTCGCAGGACCCTTACGAGCAAGCCCTCCCCCGGGTGCAGGATAGTGCTGAAGGTTGTTGGGTGGTTTGCGCAGGTGGGCCCCCGCCGCGCACCATGGCGGCGACACCAGGGTACGGCTGAAGGACAGTACACGTTGGCTGCGCCGAGGGGCGGTCCTTCAGACCTTCTGGGCCCAGCGCGACAACCACCGCTCGGGCGGGACCCGATCTATGGCCGCACCCAAAATCTGTGCAGTGCCGCGCGCAACACCTGGGTTGAACCCTGTGACCGCAGCGACAGATCCGCGGAGCCAGAGATCCAGCTCTTAAATTCGTAACCGTGCCCTCTGCCACGCTGAGGCGTGGTAGGATGCCAAGTTAATGCCTGCTAGACTGTATGTAGTTTTCTCAGCGACCTCCCCCTCTCCCCGTTATGCTGGGGTTGCGTGTGTTGGTTCCTTTCTCCCAGAATAGCGGTTGCGCTCAGGAAGTCTTGTATCTGTTCTAAAGAGCTGGGCCCGCCTGGCGGTCTGGCGGTTCAGTGCTCGCCGTCGCCGTCTCGTCGCCGCTGCGTCGCCGCCCAGGTTGTACAACATAGATTGCACCAGATCATCCATTCCACTAAAAGATAACATATTCCACCACCTCACCGAAGCTGGACATAACCGCTCGCCCTCGTGCGCTGCAATTTGCACATGGTTTTGCCTCCTCGGTCCTTTCGTTCACATAGGAACTCATACATCCGAACCCCTCGGGTATCGACCCCCACGCCATTCTGACACCATGCGCGCGCATTCGTTCATGAAAATCGTCCGCTTTCAGAAACCCCTTGGCAAGACATTGGGCGAAATGCAAGCGCGCGCGTCGTCGCGCGCGCATGTCGAAATCCCTCGCGCACTTCTGGTTTCTTCTGGAATTCTGAATCGAGAGGCCCAATCACATATAAAACACCAATGGTTTGACAACGATGATATGTATACGTTCTGCGCATGATTGCCAATCCTTGGAAACACGATCGGTGTTTCTACATGTCCATCACTTGCGACCAAATGTGCTTTTCGCGCGCGCACGTCGGAATCATTCGAACGCCTTTGCGCGTGTGCTGGGGGTGCACGACCCATGTCAGATAGACCATGCGGGATACTCGCGCCCATCGGCCGCGCGCGCATGTCGAAATCCCTCCAAAACCTTCGCCGACAAATGGACACCATAATCGTCACCGGCATGATCAGCATCGGTGCCATCAACCATGCCGTCGTCATCGTCATCGTCATCACCAGCAACGGTGTTGTCATCATCGTGTCTGCCATTGTCGTCGTCGCCGTGGTGCCGCGCCCGCTCGAGGCACCGACTCGCACTGACGTGCCCACGCGTCAACGAAGCATGGAAGACGCGCTGGGAAGTGCCCAGCGGTCAGCGCCACCGCGGCCGCGTTGGTCGCGCCAGACTAGCTGGTCGCTCCGCGCGCTAACTTACGCGCGCCAGCGCGGCTGCGGCGATGCGCCAGCCAGTGCCAAGCAGCCATCGCAGTCGCCGCCGCGAAGGCTTTGCAACCACGCTGCGGGTGGGTGGGTGGGATGCTTGCACGACCGTGCGATGTGGTCACGCGCGGAGCGGGCCAGTCAAGTCTCGTGTTGTGGAGCAGCAGGGAAAAAAAACGGATCTACCGCAATACCCCGAAGGCGGGATTATCCGCCCACCCCGGGGATGTGCAGTTTACATATGGTTCTGCCCATCGTCCGTTCTCATCATGAGTCCATACCATCCCAAACAAGCCAGGAT